AGACCCAGTTGCTTCTGTATTTAACAGAGTCCAGCAGGATCCTGGAGGGTGCATGGGAGTTTGCCCAACCAGTCTACATGTGTTTTGTGGATCTGGAGAGGCATTACACTGTGTCCCTCAGGGGGTCCTGTTGTGGGGTGCTCCAGGAGTACCAGCCCTTTTAATAAGGGCTGTTAGGTCTCTGTATGACCGGTGTCTGAGCCTTGTCTGCTTTGCCTGCAGTAAGTCGGACTCATTTCCGGTGAGGTTTGGACTCCGCCAAGGTTGCCCTTTGTCACCGATTCTGTTCATAACTTTTATGGACAGAATTTCTAGGCGCAGCCAAGGTGTTGAGGGAATCTGTCTTAGTGGCCTTAGGATTGCGTCTCTGTTATTCACAGATGATGTGGTTCTATTCGCTTCATCAGGGCGTGATCTACAGGTCTCACTCGAGCGGTTCGCAGCCGAGTGTGAAGCAGCCGGGATGAGGATCAGTGCCTCCAAATCCGAGACCATGGTCTTAAGTCAGAGTGCCTAGAGTGCCTTCTCCAGGTTGGGGAGGATGTACTGCCCTATTGGAGGAATTTAAGTAACTTAGAATCTTTCACGAATGAGGGGAAGATGGAGTGGAAGATCGACAGGTGGATTGGTGCTGCGTCTACTGTAAAGCGTGCACTACCGGTCCATTGTGGTGAAGAGAGCTGATCCAAAAGACAAAGCTTCTGATTTACCAGTCAATCTACATTCCTACCCTCATCTATGGTCATGAACTTTGAGTCTTGACCGAAAAAACGAGATCCCCAAATCTCAGAAATGGCCAAAATGACTTTTATCCGCAGTGTATCTGGGCTCTCCCTTAGAGACAGGGTCAAGGGGAGCCAGTTCAGGTGGCCTGGGCATCTGGTTAGGATGCCCTCTGGGCGCCTCCGTGGTGAGGTTTTCCGGGTACGTCCCACCAGGAGGAGACCCAGGGGGAGACCCAGGACATGCTAGAGGGACTATGTTTCTCAGCTGGCCTGGGAACACCTTTGGATTCCCTGGGAGGAGAAGGTCCAAGTGGCTGGGGAGAGGGACGTCTGGGCCTCCCTACTGAAGCTGTTTACCCTGCGACCCGACCCCGGATAAGCGGAAGAAGATGATGGATGGATCTTTCCTATATCAGCCATTTTCAAACCTTGGGGTTGCGAGATGACCCCTGAGGGTCGCCAAATTATTACAGAAATATATAAATGTGCAAAATTAATATAGCTTCTGATTGGACATTAATAGGAAAGCAAGTCTCAGTGATTATTACTCAAAACCAGTTACTTTCGGCTACCAAACAGCAGTAATGAACCTGTCCAGTAAAGTCACAGTAAGAGAAAGCTGGAGTGATTGGCTGTGCAAGTGGATTGGGGAAATGTTGAAATGTTCCTGGAGTTTGAGGACTTTATGGGGCGTTATGACATAACCATTCAAACTATGAAACAAATGATTGCCTCTTACCTCAGGAGCCTGCTTGATTAAATTATGACAGGCCAGAAAAGTACAACTAGATGCGCCAGTCTTTAACCACCTCCATTACGCATCACCTGTCATCAGAGCTGCATGGTGCCCTGCTCGATATCTCATCTGATCGCACATTACAGTTCGCTAGTTCTCTACATGTACGCTGGAAGAGTTCTGGTTGTCAGTAGCAACAGAGTACACAGCACTTTCAAAAGATACAACTGATGTGTTGTTTCCATTTGCATCCACATATCTGCATGAAAAGACCTTTTCTTCGCTGACACACATGAAAAGCAAATACAGAGCACGACTCCTCAGAGTTGAGAGTGATCTCCGCTTGGCCGTTTCTAACGTGAAGCCAAGAAGCTGCTCTGTTCAAACAAGCAGGCCCAGCCGTCACTTTAAATAGTTGCAGAAAAACATCTCTGCTTTTGACCAGGAAGTTATTTTTCATGTTTAGGCTCCCAGAGACATAGAAGCTTAAAATTATACATGGACTGTTTTGTATTGTGTTTTTTAAACTTTTACGGAGTGTTTTGTTGAAGTTTAGCACATGCCCTTATTGTTTAATTTGATCAAAAAGAAAAAGTTTTCCTTATTTGGTTACATTTTACCCACAAAATGATGGGATGAAGCAACCTTTGTTGGTCTGTTCAGAAAGTTAGCCACTTGATGCTCCATCATCTTTCTAAAAAATCCCAGTGTGTTACAACATAAGATGATAAAAAGCTAATGTAGCTGAAGGGATTTCATAATTACTTGTCTGATTATGTAAATGAAATGTATAAGCATAATGACCGGCATTGAAACAGGGTGTCACAGACAGCAGTGCATGTTAAATTGGAGGTTGCGACTCGAAAAGGTTGAGAGCCACTACCATAGATTAAACTCTTAGGGAGCTCTAACTGCCGTTACCTATAGCATGATTTAACCTATTATTTTATTTTCTGGCACACTTTTTTATTGTATAGCTGGCCATTTATTAAGCACAGTTAATGGCTTAACACGTGGGAGACATCTCTCCATTTATTTCCTAAAGCCTGTACATGTACACTTGCAGACCTGGGTTTGTGACTTGTTATAAGAAAGTTGAAAAATGTTTAACTTTAGATGCTGTCCAGTGAAATGAGAGAATGCTACACACCGCAATCTAAAACCATGTTCAACATAGGCGAAAGTATACTATGGCTGTGCCTGACTTTCCTATGATTTTAGTCAATTCCTGAAAAATCTTCTGATTCTTTGTCCTTGACGCCATGTCTGTGACAGCCTGCTTTGAAAATATCAAAATCCCAACATTTCCTAAATAGAATTCTCACATTTAAATTCCTAAATAACCAAGTTCTGTCTTATATCATGCTCTGATTGTTCCTTATGTTCCTAGTAGGGCACTTTACTCACAATCTGCATGTTTACTAGTGTTTCCTAATACTTCTAAAAGTAGAATGGGAGGCAGATCTTTTAGTTATCGGGCTCCTCTCCTTTGGAACCAAAAACCAGTTTTAGTCTGAGGCCGACAAAGCCGTCTACTTTTAAGGCTAGACTTAAAACTTTCCTTTTTGATAGAGCTCTTAATTACAGGCTGTTTATCCTGAGCTATCTTTATAGTTATGCTGCTATAGGCTTAGGCCACTAGATTACATAGAGATAACTACATCAGTCTGATACATTCTGCTATTTTTCTTCCATTCAGAATTGTGTTTTAATTGAACCTCTAACTGTATGTCCTCTTTCATCAGTTTGACATGAAAACTGGCTCAGAGCTCATTTTCTTGTCTCTCTTCCAGACATGGCCATCTCAGGAGCTAGTTTACTGTGACAATTTTGAAGAAAGTATTAATGGATCCGTGTTTATATGTACATTTTGTATGTCTGCTTCTCTCTCCTCGACCCCCCAGTTGACCTTGGCAGAAGGGCAATCATAGTCAATCTGGTTCTCCTGGAGTTTTTTTTCTCGCCCACAGTCGCTGCATACATGCTCGATCTGAGGGATTGTTGTACAGTCAATGAAAAAAAGTTTTGTAAGTCACTGACCCAATGCAATCAAATTGTTTTCCTTAGAAAACTTTGAATCAATCTTTGTATTTGAATTGTCTCTGTTAAGTGCCTTGAGATGAATTGTTGTGAATCTGCGCTATAAAGTAAATTGAATTGAACTTATTAACCAATTAGGCTTCTTGAAGAAGAGCCCTGAGAGAGCGATTCCAAACATAGCTTTTGCTATCACTTCCTGTGTGCCACATTTCACAAGCCTTTTATAGGGAGATCATTATGGTCATTAAGTAGAGTTTTAATCTTTTCAGTAAAGGTAGCACTTGTTTGTTTACAACTCCTCCTCGAGGTCATTAGAAATGCTACTGTTGTGTTTTTTTTTCTCCCCACTGAGTGTTCCTTCGGCTCAGGAGTCAAGTTGTCTTTCTTTGTGCAAAGACACAGATAATATCCTTTTATTTTCAGTGAAACTATTCTTGACCCTGCTTCTCTTTCTTGAAAGGAGTTACCACCTAACCTTTTCCCTGAGCTATTACTGTACTTTCATGGCAACTACCACCCCCTTACAGGGGAACAGAAAACCTCACCTGTTTAGCTAGGCCAACAATTCCCTTTAACGACTTGCCTTTCAGAGATATCGAAAGGTTTCTGGAAATCCACTCTTTAAAGCCTCAAACTCGCCTTTTCTGACATTTTGAATTGAAAAAGCTTCCTGAATGGGAAGCAAAACTTCTTCAAACTTAACTTTTTTGAAATTACTGTACTTTGTATTAAACATTTTTTCTCCCAGAAAGTAGTCCTTTGTTTATTATCTTTTCCATTAATATATGATGCTCAAATTTGCTGTTTTTTTTTTTTCTTCTAACGTTCCCAGAGACTAACTTTGAAAGCTTTTTTTCTACCCCCATGGAAATATCTCAACATAAAGCTTTTCTCATTCCTGTGCTTTCAAACCGCAGACGGGTGCTGGTGGATCCTCATACAGAGCCTGGTTCTCCCACAGTTCTTCCGCATTACCACAAAGTTTCAATGTTGCTGGTAAGGTTTCCTGAGCTGATGTTTAACCAATTGAAAATAGGAAGTTTAATTTGACGCATTGTTTTTAAGTTCTCCGTCTACTAGAAGCCTACTAGTTACGAAGCAGGGCATCTGTATCCTGGAGAGGCTGGAAGATAGCCTTTTAAATGCTCCGATTATCACTTTCTGAGGAAGCCCCTTAACACCACAATGCTCCCCATATGCTGGTAACTGCTCAATCTTCCCTAAAGTACGGGTTAAATGCAGCAACATAATTTATTGGTCACATCCAGCAGCAATGTCAAATAAAGGTGATTAAAACAAAGATGCAGAGCAGTTTGACAAACATTTCATATACTGGGGTTTCTTAGAGCAAACACACTAGGATTCATATATTACATCTTACAACATGAGCTGCTTTACACCATAGACCCAGGATTATTCTAAGGGTTCCTACGAAGTAGTTAAAATCTTTACATGTTAGAATATGACTATCCCACTAAGATGACCTAATTGCACAATTATGCAAACAGCACAAAATAAAATTTATTTTATAGAATCAGACCCAAAACATCAGAGGAAATAAAGATTGCCATGTTCTCCTGCAGTAATTTTAATAAGCATATTTAAAGGATGCATATTTATCAGCCCAATGATGTTCTTGTTTTGCATTCCAGTTCTATTTTATGAGCACAGGATGAAGATGGAATCTCCATTTCTTGAACACTTTTTACTGCTTGTTTCTGAACTACAGTGATTTCCACACCAGCACCATGGTCTTTATGCTTTTATGGAAGAAAACTATAAAACAATGGAACCTGTTTCTGGGCATTCATTAAGCACATCGATTGAATTCCTTTTTTCCATTAACCAAGCCTCTTGTGTTGGCATTGTATTCTAGTGCTAAATATCTCATTAATCTAGAATCTTTCAGACCAAAATCATTTACTTCATAATTAAAAGTTTCTCCTGGGCCACACTCTGGTTCTACCTTTCTTATACCTCATCCAAAATGCTTACGTTTTCCTAAGCTATTTTCTGCATTTGTGCTGCTATAGACTTGGACTGCTGGATGATAGGGACCCCTTTTCATCATTCCTTCTCAATTCTCCCATTCTACAGTATTTGTTTGTTCAATCTCTAACTTTATACTCTTTTCCTCATCATAGCTTCATCTGGTCCCGTTTGTCTGTGACACCATCCTGGAGGGGTGTCAGCTGTAATGCTGCCATCAACACTTTTGTTTGTGGATGTCAGAGCTTGGCCTGTTTTTCAGTGTAGTCCTGTTTCTCCGACTGTGACTACCAGTATGTGCTCTGCTTCATTCTCTGACATGGAAGCTAGCTCGGAGCTCATCTGCCTGGCTGTGTGTTTCCTGGGTGGAGTCGCCTGTGGAGCTGATGGACAGTTGCCTTTTGTATTCCTGCTTTTTTTATTCTATGTCTGCTTACTTGAACACCAGTCTGCCTCGGCAGATGGCCGCTCACACTGAGCCTGATTCTCCTGGAAGTTTCTTCCTGTTAAAAGACATTTTTCCTCTCCACTGTCGCTACAAGCATGCTTGGTGTGAGGGATTGCTTTCAAGAAAATTAGTCTGACTGTATGATCTAGTTGTAAAGTGCCTTGAGATGACATATGTTGAGAATTGGCGCTATATAAACTGATTGAATTGAATAAATATGAGTCTCTCTGGGGTTAAACTTCATAATTCAAACTATAAAAACACTTTATTTGCATGGCACCTTGAATACTTCATAAGCAACTCATTGTGCCATAGCATCATAAAACTATGTACATTAAAAAAGCACTTGAAAGAAATGGAGGAGGAAAAGAGTAAAACTGTACATGTCTTTTAAAACATCCTTAAGATACAAGTGGTTGTTTTTTGCTCTGCGCAGAGTCGAGCTCTTGCCCCTGTGTCACGCCATCATGCCCATTGTCTGCTCACACCGGTCGGCTGATGTTGTTCTGGAAAAAGTCTTTTAGGCCACCAAAGCCCTGGGTGAACAGAAACTCCAGGTACCAGCTCCATGGCTTGGCTTGCTGAAACACACACAAGGAGTCACATCAAAAACATCTGAAGGATTGTTTGATCAAAGATACATGAATGATGTGCACTAACACTACATAAGAAGTCTTAAATAAGCAAAGAATATGGGGAAAAAAGAAAAACTCTGTTATACCTTGATGGAATTAAGGTCCATGTCCTTTCTGCCTGGCCAACACTGATAAAGACAGAAGATGAATATTCAGTGACAGAAATCTGTGGGAAATCTCACAAAATAGCTGCTTCAAAAGCTGTAGGAGGCCCAACCCTTCCTAAAAAGGTGTATGTGTATTATTAAAGACCTTAAAGGGCAGCCATTAATAATACAAAATCCCTATGGATTAATGTTTCATCTTTGAAGGATACATTAAACCTCATTTGTCTTGCTTGTAGGTCTTTTTGGTAAAGTGCACACCAAGCCTGCATGCTAATTTATCAAAACAACTGTCAGGGTTCCTGCACATTTTACATGTTAAAAACTCCATGTTCCAGAAGTGTAGTTCATTTAAAACGGAAAATATTGCAGTTAGGGCACATATTTTTACAACCTGCAAAGAACAGAAACTGGGGGAAATACGAGAAGGAACTGAGGAAGGAGATTAGGAAGAGTTATGGAAATAAATGAGCAAGGAAGAGAGAAAAGGGAAAAGAAAGGGAGAATGAAAGACAGAAAACAAGAGGGGAGGAAGATGAGTGGAGAAAAAATGGGAAGGAAACAATGAAAGGAGGGAATTGAGGGAGAAATAAAAGGAAAGGAATATGGGAAAGAAAGGGACATAAGGACAAAAAGATGAGAAGAAGGAATCAAAGGATAGAAATAACAGAAAAAGGCACAACATTTAGAGTGGGACAAGGAATAAAATCTGGTGGACGTGTATATTGGAAAAAAAATCTAAATCTAGATAGTTAATTTTTTCTTAAAATGATTGCGTTTGTTCTTGGATTAAGGAGGTGAAAAAACATTTTGCCAATGGAACAAGAAACTTTACACTTAAAACAAGAAAACACAATTACATTTAAAGAGTAAAAATACTAATTCCATCTTATTTACCCACTCAAATTAGGGGTAAACACACTTAATTTCAGATATTTTTACTCATTTTAAGATAGTTGTTACGATGTATTCCTAACTTTCACTTCCAGACCTGTGCAGATCGCAAAAACACTGAATTCCAATTCTCTACTTTCAGAAGCTCATTGTGGAGCCTGAGCTGTGAAGCAGGTCTCTTTAAACAGGATCTCAGATTAAATGAAGCATACCAACCTTCTGGTGAAACTCCACAGCGTACATCATGAAAGCTGGGTGGTGGATGAGGTCGAAGCGTGTCCAGGGCTGTGGGACGACGCTCTTCTCGAGCAGTTCCTCTGAAAGCTGTATATCAGTTTCTGGACAACGCATGCTGGAGTTCCACAGGCAGTTGACCATAAACGCCAGGTAGTTGTTGAACTCCTGGTAAGTCTGACGGCTGATGTGAAAGGCATGCTGAGGAAGGGAAAACGCACAGATGGATGGTGATTAGCTTACTTCCCATTTACATTTTTTCCTTACGAAAATGTTCCAGAGGCATTTGCAGGCCAGCTGACCAGCAGAGGTAAACCTGCTTCAAATCAGAGCTCACAGGAACACATGTGCTGAAATAAACATTATTAAATTCTCATCTGAGAAGAGATTAAAGTTATCAGGTTTAAGCAGACGGGTCCCTGAAAAGCGGGACTGACTTGTTGAATATAAAACATCTACCCAGGATTCTAGAACAACAGCTGCATTAATGACACCAAACTCAGCTGAGTGAAATATAAGCCATACAAGCTGTGATCCACAGATTTGTTTCCTTACACTGGTCACTTTCTCCTGACTCTTGGCCGACGTCAGGTTCATTTTGTACCTACAGAAAACAGAAAAGAAATCTCTGGTTAAACATCCCTCCAAGGCTCAAACAGGAATAAGAGAAAATAATATAGCAGGTTTTATTGGGATTACAATACAATTAGTAAATAGTTTTTGCAGGCAACAAAGATGATGCTCTAAAAAATTACATATTTTAGAAACTTTTTTGGTATAAAAATTTATTTTTATCACTAAATTGCTAATGATGATGCAACTGAGAGCTAACTCATCTATTATACTTCACCACTGTTACCAACAATCAAAGTACTGTAGAATTATTTTAAGGTAACAATGGCTCCTCCTTAAATAGAAATCCAATCCAAATGGCCTTATGATATATCATTGAGTAAAAAATATACTTTAATTCTACATATAAATATAGATATTTTTCAACTCGTGTCATGTTACAACCCCAGTCAGAATGTAATTTATGGGGGCCTTATGGTGAAATGATAAAAGGTTTTTGAATTTGACAAAACAGTTTGATTTCAGCTGTTCTGTGAGGAAGGGGCTCTGATCAGTTGAAGCCTGGAGGTCATGGGTTTGTGACCCCTTTGGTGTAACATGGTGGTGGCAGCATAAAGGAGCGGGATCATTTTTCTTCAACGTCAGAGCCAGTAGAAGATGGATACAGGAACAATCAAATAGTTCAAGTCAAAGCTAGGGTTGTCACTAGGGCTGGGTATTGTTAAAAAAATTTCGGTTCCGGTACCAATACCGATACCTTCACTTCGATACCGGTTCCTGAACGATACTTTTTTCGATACCAGTTTTATAATATCAATTCGAAAAAAAGAAAATTACACAACATAAAAAAGTACAAATCTTGAGTTTTATTTTAAGCTCTGTTTTTCCATTTACATTTTTCCTCTTACATAAAAAAATAAATAATTCAGTGTCTAATATTCACTGTTACATTGTGAGGACCTTTTTACTTAGCAGTTTTCCTTTAGAAAAATTACCATGTCTGACAAACAAGCCCGTTGAATGGGATCCTACTGACAGCGCACCGCTGGTATGGGGGGGGTCTGAGCGGCTCCGACAGAAATATTGAAGGCAGGATGAACTGACTGCACTGATTACGTTTTCAGGTGGATTTTCCCACTTAAAAACATAATAAAACTACTTTATTCCCACTGATCACAGCAAATATAGCTGCAAGGCAAATAAAGGATAGAGTAGCTCCGCCCAACGCGCGTCTGACCCACTTTGCGACCGCGCAGCCAGAGCAGCAAAGCTTCTTCAGCAGCGCGTCAGAAGCTGGTACAAGCAGCAAAAATGAAGCAGCAGACGAGATTTTGCTGCTCTTGCTGCGTCCAGTTTGAAAGCAGCATGATTCACTCCGCTCTGGCTTTGCTCTGCCCACGGGCTGCTGAGAGGAGGATGGTCGCGCTGGCTGCGGTCCGCTCTTCTTGCAGTCAAACACAGAGCGACTTTCTGCTCTTAAATTATTTCCGTGCACGATGTATTGCATTGTGCACTATTAGCATCAGTCTTAATAAAGTGAAGCCGCACTTTTGACCTGGGGGGCATTTTAAAGGGGTTCCGCGACGCTGCAACCAGTTCACAAAAGATACACATGAACCCTGGCTGTGGGCGTGACCACCTGTGTATTTTTCCTGGATGACGCAATCACCTTAAGTGTTCCAGCCAATCACCGAAACTTGGTACCGAAAGACGAGGCATGTTTCGATACTCTGTAGAACCGAAGCATTTCGGTCGGTACCATAAAAGTACCGAAGTTCGGTACCCAGCCCTAGTTGTCACGATACTAAACTTTTCAACTCTATACCGATACTAAGGAAAATATTCGATACTCGATACCACAAGAATAAAAACAAAGACCTCAAAATTCTTCAGAAATATTTTCATTAATAAATAAAATACAATAAATAAATACAGGTGCCACTGGAGGTGGCACTGTATCGATACTTTTAAAAACGAGTATTGTATCCAGATACAACGTTTCAGTATCGATACTTTTGACAACCCTAGTCAAAGCATATTCATGACAGAATCAGTGCAGACCTAAAAAATATGAATTTATGGGAAAAACTAGAGGATCATACTCTTTGTCTGACCTTTTTAAAAAGAAGAATGGTCTAAATTGTATTTTCTATAAATATATGAAGAGCTGATAATGAGATACCCTTAAGATGAAAAAATAAGGATTTTTTTCGCCCTAAACTTCACAACACTGCACAACAACTTTGTGCTAATCCGTCACATGAACAGTAAAATATTGGAAAACTGTGGTTATAACTCCATAAATGTGGAAAAGTTCATGAAGAAAAACAAAAACACTTATAACGAGCTTCCACCAGATGCAAGGAAAGAAAAAAAAAAAAAGGGCCCAAACCTGTTCATGATGTAGGCCAGTCTGTCCAAACTGACCGGGTCAGTGGCAAACATAGCGGGGTAAAAGACGCCCGGAGGAGGCATGACCACCAGGGGAAGGCCAAACTTCAGGAAGGTGTCACACACCTGAGGAAGAAGAGAGAATTGATGCACCAGTTCATACTCCTAACAAAGCTTTCGCCACGAGTCTGTGAAGTATCCTACATTCTGATGTGTTCTTTGATGTAAAGCCAAATAGTGCTGCGATCCATTTAGCTCAAAGTCAGTTCTCAGATGGGGACATTGTCTTGTATCCAGTTTAATCAGGCTCCAGTTGGAAGTTAGAAAACCAAAAGGGATTTCACTTTTTTCTGAGCTGCCAAACAACTTAGCGAACACAGGCTGATAGCAGTGTGTGATATATGCATACAAACAATGCTTACGTGTTAAATATAAAGCCCTGTGTGTGACTGATGTGTAGGAAAACAATATGCTCCAGTTTTATTCACATTAGATTATTTAATTTTATGGTCCCACTGTCTGCTTTTATCATGTGTTCATCTTTACTTGCTTTTATTTATCTTCTATTTTACAGTTTAATTCATGTAAAGCACTTTGAACTGGATTTGCACTCAATTGTACAAGACAAACTTGCCTTGCCCAATTTATATCTTTAAGTTTTGTTCTAGTAGATTTTTCTAACTATCAAGTCCAACGAAATAAAAACATCTTTAGATTTTGTTTTCCTGTCTTATTCCGCCTTATTTCTACAGCTTTTTTTCTCCAGCTCACAGAGGTCTGACACACTTTCCCTTCCAATATTATTTAGACTATGATAGAAAATATATTTAGAGTTCTCAGGAATTAAAAATGTAAATTAATCAGCAACTGAATATCTGATGACATGAATGAATCATAATAGAAAACAAACAAATTCTTGTATATTTCCCTCACTTATAAAGACTTGAAAATAGCTTAATCTCTGATGTAAAAGGAGCTGTAGGTGTTAACTACTTCTATTAACAGTTGGTATATCATTAAACCAGTGCTGTACAATATAAGTCAGTGAACGTGCTCTATTTATGTTTAAACGTGTAATTAGCAAGAAAACAAACAAGTCGTCTGTTTTCAGCCTTACAACCAGAGCTCTCAATAAGACCAACCAAATAGATAACAGGTTTAACTAGTAAAAGCTGACCATAATGATAAGGAAACACCTTTACACTGCGCTGCTGTTTTAATTGTAATGCCTCCTGATCTAGAAGTTAGGATATTTTTGCCCAAAATAAATAAACTTTAATGCACATATGATGCCGAAGAGCTGTGTTTAAATTATTCATCTAAAGAAGCGAGAAATGAAACATATTAGTTAAAGGAGATGATTGTCTTGCCCTGCAAAGTCAGTAAGTAGACCCCAGTTAGCAGCTCTCACTTACAGTCTCGTAGAAATCCAGAACAAAGCTGAGCAGGAGAGAGTGGCAGCCCTCCAGCTGCAGGCCCATGGAGGCCAGCCGACCCACAAAGCAAACCAAGTCCATCACAGAGTCCTTGAACCCTGACAGGGTAATGTTTCTGAGTAGGGGAGAGAGCAGAGCAAAGAGTCACACACAAAAAGAGTCCTATAACTGAAAGCATTCCAACACCCTGCAGAAAACAAGAGAAAACTTATCCAGACTGGTGTTGATAAGGAAAGATTTACTCAGTGATCGCTCTGATGTCATCTGCAGGCTCTGAAGTGCCAGGAATTCCTCAGTTTAGCCACAGAAGTTGAATTAACCAATACGTAAAATGCACCGATTTACCAAATTGTTACAAAAAGATGCCAATCAAAGTTTGCCTCTTCAAATTTGAAGGTGCAACAGTGCAGGTTTCCAGGGCCCATACGTTTATTGGTCAATTTCACAACAAGGCTCCAGTTGTTCTACCCCTCTGGGGGTTTAATAGAGTGGATGTAAAACTCACATGGATGTGTGGCTGTGGAGGCTGATGTCCAGGTCGTCTTCCAGAGCGTACACAGAGTGCCAGGTCAGCCACTTTAGCAGCATGTTGTTTAAACATTCAATCAGTCCACACTGCAGACACACACACAGAGGGAACGCACAGAGTTTACAGCAGATCAAACTCTCAACTGGTACAGGTTTGTAATGAAGACAAGGTGAACCCTGCTGCCCATTCCATATGAAGATTCAGTCCTTATAGAGAAACAGCTTAGACATGGTTCAGGGTTGCTGCACATTTTTAGGAATGGATTTAAAACTTATTTTAAAGTATTTAGTTAGTACTGTTTGAAATCAATTTCTGGCAGATATTTCTGGATTGCTCAGGGTGGATGGATGAGATAAGTAGCAATTGACTGGCTGACAAAAAGATGGATTAACACACTGTTGAAGGGAAGGACACAAAGGGAAGAGTGGTAGGAGGAATTAACGGACAATTTAATCTAGAAATCATTGCCTTAACAGATGAAAGGATGGATTGATGAAAAGATTATGGATGGATGGAGTTTTTGAAAATAGGAAAAACTCTGTAAAACCACCTTAGGTTGTATAAGACCCACAAAAATTCCTGATATTCCCCGGAATGTGCAAAAGCCCTGAAGTTTTAACAAGGTTGTGCCAAAAAATGGGAAAACATACCTTAAAAAACAGCGAGGATGTGAAGAAGAGCTGCATGAGAGGCTCAAACAGAAGTACTTCGATCTCTGAACAGAAAAGAAAATGTCACAATAGGTTCCTGCCCCATAACTCAGACATTTTCTAATAAAATCCCCTCACTTCTGCCTCATAGTACTAAATACCAGGTGAAAGGCCGTCCCTTTAAGCAAAACATTCCAAATTAGCATTTAGCTTATCATTCTGACACTCACGTGAGCTGGGAATGACAGGAATGTTACTCAGAAGGCCGAGGATCTGCGGACGCAGCAGAGATCCATCCCAAATGTTGAGAAATTTGTAGAGGAAAGCATCAGAGCTGTGAAACCCCTCCTGATGAAAACAAAAAGGTATTATTTAAGAAACAAATTAGGGTTAGAGAGGTTTTAGCAACGGGAAGCGATGAACACATGACATGAAGTGCTCACCTGCAGGAACTGCTGTGCTGAGAGCAGCTTGTTTAAAAACTGGAGAGCTTCTTCTGCATTCTGGCCGGCTCCTCCGTCGGTGCAGAATAGAAATTCTGAACAAAAACAGCAACAAAAAAAAAGTAGAGAATTCATGGAATCAAACAGACAGAAAAAAAAACACCATCAGGAGATTCAGTACGAACCCTACGGCACTTTTTAAACTGCCTCCTAAAAGAATTCTCTTTGATATGCCAAACTAAGTAATTCGCTGTAGTTCAGCTCAAGGTCTTTGCTTTGAGAGAAACCCTCTCCCCCCATAGAGGATGTCACAGCAGTTTAGCAACTTCCCCTCCCCTGCTCCTACCTCCCGTTTCATTTACCTTCGTGGAGAGCGTAGCCCAGCCAGAAGTTGAGGCGTAGGAGGGCAGACTCATCCTGCACGCAGTCCAGGTACTGCAGAGCCAGACGGGAACCCAGCAGAGAGCCCATCTGAGCAGGCAGCTGTTGGAGGTAAAATCAGGTAAAAAAAAAGGAAACCCAGAGAGGGCTTAATTATCACATCCTCGCAACACAGACAGCAATGCAGATGCAAATGAAAAAACACACACAGAAAGTCAAACATCACATTAAAATGCTCATCTGTGGAAATGGCTCCCTCATTTTACTTTATGATCATGATTACCTGCTGGACATTAGGAATGACAATGTTCTTGTTTTTACATGAAGGGGAAGGAGAGATAATGTGCACATCCACTGATGCTCTAATTACTGGTATACAATGATGCAACAGCAGCTGCCTCTCAACATGGGGATGTTGCCAGTTTTAGAGATAAACTTGAACAAAAAGGAGAAATACTACGAGTGGTCACGATTGAGCATCTCAACAGATGTCTCATTAAACTAAGAAAAACACTATTTGTCTCCTGACTGTAGAAATGGAGGGATGAAGGGTAGAGTCTGTGATCATTTGTCAATAGAATTGGTTTATACAGGCGACTGATTGCAGTCATCGATTCCTTCAGAAACATGACAAAGTACAAACACTTTAGCTTCTCTTTTAGAAGTGGAGGGGCTCTCTGGCGTGCTGTCCGAACAAAGAGCCAGATTTATGAGAATGAAAACACACATTTAAACATTTTATTAACATTTAATCATTTTAGTTTAGTTTTTCAGAATGGATCAGCTTCTTATGGTGTCTGTTTAATACATAAGTCTGTGTGTGTGTGTGTGTGTGTGTATATATAAATAAAAGCAAAGTGAATGGGAGCCACAGAGCCCATGAAGCAGGTTTATGATCTAATCTAATAAAACAATTACAGCCATAGGGCCACCTGTGCCAACAATCCAGATTAGACAGTACCACAGCGCCACCATGTGGCCAACAAGTTGCTTCACATGCTCCTGTGTTACATTATTGCTTCTGTTTGAATTAGATTTCTCACGCTGAGGTGAATGTGTGTAAAACAGCTTAAAGAGGACTCTTGGTCAATTGATTTTCTCTACTATTATGTTTATATGGACTCCAAATTACCTAACTGATTCAAAAATGGCATAACTGATATTTGCTTTAAGAGCAAAGCATGCCCATTTAAAGTATTTTAATAATGATATTCCCAAAAGAGGCAACAACAAAGAGAAGAAATGTATCTCCTAAAGTTTACTTCTGTCTTAAAATTCACTTTCTACTGTCAGGGATCCAGAATATTTTCTCAATTATCAAATATAATTCTATCTTTAGTGTTTTTAGTTCATTTTTAAACGTCTAAATACACAACTCAGTGATTGATAAAGCGAGCAATGGAGGGAAGAAGAGAACCTTTAGTCAGTTCTCTAAATCTCTTATTTCCACACTAAAATGTCCACATTTCCTAGTTCAGATATCTCTTCAATGGTCAAGTTAAAATATTTAAACTATAGGGAACTTTTCCATCCTTGAAAAGGACAGATGGACAGACAGTGGGACACATACCTCAATCTGATGCATGTTTTTCAACAGCTGCTCAAAAGACTGGATCTGCACAAGGGGGACCAGCTTCCTACTGGAGGTCTGCTCCGTATTCACCCCAGTGTTGGTGACGCGGCTCAACTCTGGTAGCTCCAGGTGCCTGTGTCTCTGTAAGAGCAACAGAGAAACCGATTCTTACTTTACATAAACTTTCATTAAAGTTTTAGACACGTTATTGACTAATATTTGGATTATTTAGTTTTAGATGGATGTCACCATTCAGTCTTTAAACATAAAGGATTTAACTAATAAAAATGTATTAACCAAAAATAGATAATTTATCCCACGTCTTTTCACATTATAATTTTCTGACAACAGAACACCTTAAATATAAATCTTGTATCAACAACTGGTGGTTTACCAATGTTAAATTGGGTATCGCGATTTATTATTCAATGAGGAAAAATACCATCATACACATTATCAGAAAGCTTTAGACAAAATAAAAAACAAACACAGGTGTTTCCAAAATTTAAGCCACTGGTTAAAAAAAAAAAAAGTTGAGTCTTAGTAATAGTGCAAATAGAATGAAACTGCTCCCATTTGACGGCTAACACATTTATTCCACTGCATTGAATCTATTAATATAACAAAGTAAACATTATGTACACTCTGTTGGTGCTTTCAGCAAGGCGTGGCGTCCCATTATGCCAGGATATAAGCTGTGGTTCAGAAATGAGTAGAGTTTGCTTCAATTTTATTCTTCAATACTCTTAGAACAAAGCTGTTCAAATCAAATACCATGAACTCAATGCTATTTAGGGCTGCAACTAACGATTATTTTAAAAATCGATGAATCGGACGATTATTTTTTCGATTAATCGATGAATCGGACAAAAAATATTTTTTATATTAACCTCTTTATTCCAAAATAAACATTTTAGACAGAACAAACAAGCACACAAGTACAGGTTGCTCATTAACTGTACTGGTGCAATATGAAAAATAAATGTTTGTGTTAAAACTACGCAAACTTACATGAGAAATGTAGCTGTACATCCACAAAATATAGGGTACTTTGTTTCATAAAGCGCAAAAAAAGACATTTTTGTTTTTAAAAGCCTCTAAGGGGTTCAAACAATAGGCCCCCCATTTCAACAAATGAGTTTTTTTAGACTAGAAGAGTACTGCCTTTTAAGACAGGAAAGTACAGCAGTTAAAGTTGCTACTTGAGAAAATACTGAACCATAGAGATAAAAATAGCCCTGTGATTCAAATTATAAATTGTATTTGGAATAAAAATGAGAGAACTAGGGGTGCTAAAAAACACATCCTCCAAAGACAGATATTTACATGGGAATGTGGCATATAATTAATTGACATATTACTGATCTTGCTGGATTTTATTCTGCTTTACTTCTATAAATTGCAGGATCATCTTTACTTTATCTTTGCCAGAAGATTTAAACTTTAAAAGTCTTGCCCTCATAATTTGCAAGTTAATTTATTTATAAAGTAAATATAAACGCTGCTTAAGCTAATTCAAATGAAATTAAAAGTAAAATAAGTAGCCAACCTTATCACTGTCTGTAACCTACTAACACGGTAAGGAAAGCATCAGATGAGCTACCTGAGAAACTAACGTTACGTTTCCCCACTTTAAAACCAAACAAACATGGTGGTTCCATGCCATGTTAATTTCTTTTGAAAAAAGTTGCATGTTATCACTTTTTTCGCTTTACAAAGCGCAGGCTATTTTAATTATTGTGATCAATTTGCGCCGTCAATCCCGGTGCATGCGCGCTTCATTTGCAGTCTGGACGCTGAGGCTCTGACTGAGAGGGACTCCTGCGGGAAAACGCGGTTGGGGTGGGGGAGGCGCCCCACGGCAGAGTAGGAACATGCATGCTTTCACGTAAGAGTCTCCAAAAGCCGCCAGTGACACCGAAAAAAGTCGCCAGATTTGTCGCTAGTCGCTTTTTTGAAAAATAGTCGCTGGAGGGGTCTGAAAAGTCGCGGAGTTGGCAACACTGCACCTGCGGCGCTGACTCGCTCTGCCGTATTTTTTTTTCTTCCTCTTTCAGTCAAGAGGCAGTGATGACGGCGCGGCGGATGACGCAATAATCGCGCGACACAACTAATCGATGATGAAATTCGTTGCCAACGCTTTTAAAAGTCGATTTTTATCGATTTTATCGATTCGTTGTTGCAGCCCTAATGCTATTCCTGACATTTTAAATTGAAAAAGCTTCCAAGATGGGAAGCGGAATGTTTTCAAACTCGGAAAACAAGTCCAGTGGATTGTTTTTTTTAAAGATTTTTGTGGCCCCTGAGATCAAAGCAACCTCTGTTATCTCAAACCCAGAATATCACAACCATGAAGTACTCTTCATTCTGTTTAATGAGCCTCTGGGGAATATTCTGTTTGTTTACCTTCATCTTATGATTCATGAAAGAGAGTCATATGATTCAGATGTTTTTTTTTTCTTTGGTCATTTTGAGCATTACTGCTTTCGGCAAGTAGACATTTTCTTACCCAAGACCAACGAAAAATGTTTTGTTTTTTTATACAGAACAGTTAAAAGTCGACAAAATCATGTGAAAGACTCCTAATGTGACAGCTGTCAGTAAAAATCTGAAATAGAAAGGTAAGCCATGGTGAATAAATTGGTGATGACAGACTGATTTAATGGTGGTAAGTTAGGTGGAAGGGAAAACTGCTACAAACACAGAGGCATAACCACAGCCTAAAAAGAAGGGTAAAAATCTAGATGGCTTCTGGAATGCATCTGATGTAAAATTAGAATTTTGTTTTCAAATCAGGGTCAAGATTAACATTGCTGAGGTTAGTTTCAAGCCGTCTATAAATCTTTTGTATGTGTGTCATTTTCTGAGCAGCTGTATTTGGGGTTTACATTTAGCTGTGACCAATAATGATCACGATGATCAGATACAAACTAAATAATATGAGCATCTAGACGAACTTTGTTACAGTCGCTGAGGTGAGGTTAAAAGTTGCAGCGATACTGGAGGAACAACTCAAGTGCTGCAAAGCTAGCTCGTTTACAAACACAGAGAAAGATGTGCTGGGTAACGCACCCTTTTCCGAGAGCCGGTTTTGTTTTTGAGAGTGAAGTTCAGACTGATGCTGGAGGCGACCTGCAAACTGCCCCTCTTCTGGAGCGCCATCAAAGCCGACTTCCATGGGGAGATGTGATTCTTAAACCCGCTCTGTGGGAAATTAAACAACACTTATGTTTAATCACCTAGTAGACAGGAAGTGTTAAAACAGCTTCAAATTGGTAACAAGTATACAAACCCTCATCCGGGATGGAATGGACAGCGTCACCAGTTCAGGGCAAAACACTTTATAAAGTGAAAGAAGGTGTAGGAGATACGGCTGCCTTCCCTAGAGAGGTGACAAAGATTTACAACATAAAAATATATTTTCACATTCCCTCAGTACATCATTCACTTCTCTTTTTTATATGAATACTTTTCAAAATGCTGTATGGTTATAAATTTGAGGAAAATGTCTAAGGATAAAAGCAGAACTTTTGTTTTGTTGCAAAAAATCCTCCCTCATCCTCAGCTTGATTTATCACAGGAGATAGAATTACCTAGGAATTACCCTGGACCTTCTATGTTAAATCTGCTATTGATCTTAAACTCTAATATCCTCCATGGCTTTGCTCTGAAATAACTGTGACTTGTAACTGAGGAGTTGCCCTCAAAGCAGATGTGAGAAACGATCAGAGCCCTGCTGGTTAGTCTGAGCTCCCTATGGGCACTTGTAGCTTTTATTTACACTCCACCTGAACACAAACCAAACTTAGAGGCCCTATTTAGGAAGGAAGGAATTTCAAATTCAAAAATTCCCAACATTTCCATATCAGTGAAATTATTTGGGAAGCTTACCAGTTTAGACTGCAGTTCCAGTAGCTTCCTGACTCTGAAGACACGCACTATGGTGAAAAGATGCACAGTTAATTAATAACTGTTTGTTGCTTCGGATTTAAGCTCGTTTTGTGATCTACTGTCAGTACAACCTATAGAAATGTTAGGGACACTGAGAGGAGAAATTATGAGATGACAAATATTGGCAATGTGAGGATAGATTGCTTACCATTTACTTTTCTGGTTAACAGGTACAACAAGTGGCAGATAAAAGGGCACTAAAAAAAGAGGAATTAGAAGAAGAAAATGTCACTTTTTTCACAAATACACACACTCATAAAACCTGTTCTAACATTAACCATGATTGAAATTCCAACTTTTGAATACTAATGAAATGTGGCATAAGACAGGAGTCAAAAGTGCATTTAGGTTTAGCATGAAAAAGACCAACACTAAATAAAAGAGGTGCCGCTAGTCTGCATCTCAGATGAAGAGCGAACTAAACAACAAGCTGGTATTGATAGCCAGATGTTCGACCTTTAAACAGGAAAGACACTGAGCTGAATAGAGGGTAGGGCCAGTCATCCACCCTACACTGGTGACTTTAACAGCCCCGTTAGTGTGACTCTTTTCACCTCTCAAAAGGTGAATCAGCTTAAAAAAAAAAAACAAAAAAAAACTGGGATTTAGTTCCTTGTCTCCTAAGCTGGTGGGCCTCTCTATCATCACTTTTACCTTTAGATACCGTACCCCATCAGATTAATCAGTGCTAATTATTTCTTCTAGTCTGAAAAGAAATGCTGGTAGGAATTTTTTAAAGTAATTTATTTCAATTAAAATAAAAATGACCAAAACCTCAGTCTGACAAGCATATGAAGTTTCAGGATTCCAAATGCTCATGATAAAAGAAAAAAAAACATGGCTGCTTTTCCCAGCAGCTTGAAAGCGTTTCTGAGTATTATGATAAATCAATGAAGAGAATACGAGTCACATACCAGATTTTCATCAGTGATGAAGCTGAAGATGAAGCCATATATAGCTCGCAGCTTATCCTTTGCATCGATCATGTCAAATACAGTCAACACCCACTTTATAAACAGTACCTAAAGATGTCATGGAGGAAAAAAAAAAAAAAAAGACACAAGTTCAACCAAACATAACTAACTGAGGAAAGAATTTAGCCAACCTGCAATCAAAAGAACAGGAAATCTTGCTCCAACATACTTATTGAGGAATAAAAAAAGGGTGTGTAACCTATAATAATAACACAATTCCGATGTTAATATGTATACATGTTGGATTTGTCACAAACCTGGGTGCTGATGGGTATTTTCCCCACACTGAGCCAAACTACGGCTCGAAAAACAGCTTCCTGTGGCACCACCGAGTCAGGGATCAGACACTTCAGTACTCGCGCACATGGACTGCTCCCTGCACATAATAAACCAGAAGAAGGTGCTAATGTTAATTCTAAGTGTAGGTGAACAGATGCCCGACTAATAAACATGACATTTTCCACAACAGAGGCAAAAGTTTCTAAATGCCATACTAAAAGACACTGATTGGGGAATTAACCAAAATCCTTTTACATAATAAGGGATTTAAGTACAAACTGGAGATTGATCAATTCAATTTTTTTAAGGCTGATTTGGAAAACGATCATTCTGACATCAATCCAACCAATCCCTAAAACGAGTTGCCAATTTCTCAGGCCCGTTTTTGAAACAGATATTGGCCATAAATATTGACTGACCGACGTGTGGGTCTACCTCTTTCCCTCAATGGTCTGAATAAAACTGAAAAAAATGGAGGCAGTACTTGAAATTTGTTGCTGATGGAATAAATCGTGGAAAAGGTCTATTCAATAACAAAATACTAACTGACGTTATACTAATATTTCCTAATCACATACCTACGATTTGTATGTAATTAGGAAAAATGGCCAAAATGATAAAGTTGCAATGAGATGCTGAGTGACAGACTTACCCATGCGAAGGCTCATAGCGAACTCCAGCATAACAGAAATGGCCTCTGGGGACAGTCCTTTGCTGAATGCCACCTTCTCCACCTGTGCCAGGTGGTTTTCAAACTCATCGTTCCCGACTACAGGAGTCCCCACTTCAACTAAAAGAAAGAGGAAAAAGTCAAGGAAGACATATAGATATGAAAGAAGAGAAAGTTTTAATATTTAACTGTATAGCATAACATGACCTAATTAAAGATATAGAGGACGATCTTTTATTTCTGTGTGGATCATCTAAATAAGTGGTCCTCCTAATTGTCAATCCTTCTGGTGATATGTTTATGTAAGGCTGTCTTACATTCCTGTCCCGTTAGGATTGGTTTCAGAGAGTAATTGGAGCTCACCTCTCTCAGCGCAGTTCTGGCCGAGCGTCATAAGAGAAAAAGTGTCTATGAAGTGTACGAGAAGTAAAGAAAGGCCTCAGAAGAGGCAGATATTTCCTGGAATGCTTTGCGCGGAGAGCTGTCCCAGCACAGCATTATGTGATTTGCTGTCACAGCAGCCCGCTGTCGCCATAGGCTGCCGCTACCTGACAGCGACGACTAACAACAAAGATGGTGCAGGCATCGTGCAGTGGACCAACGAGGAAGTGATCATCTGTCCGAACGGTAAGTTACCTGAGTTTGCTATAAAGTCCCTGCTCTATATGGTGATTTAAGAAATTGAGGGGTTAGGTCGGACGTTAGGACAAAGTATAGAGCTGTGTATACCCCTGCAGCAGCGTGTTGCAGTTAGCTTGCCGAAGATATGACGCAGATATTTATGATTAAGCCCAATTTTGAAGCGTGGGATTCCCTATGTTATTCTATGCCACAACGCAAGTGGGACAATCACAAACCGGCTAGGATTATGAGCGTGGCGTGTTCCTCTTCAGGTTACGGAGGTCATTCAACAACAATGGTGACTGGACCAATGCGGACTTTCAGTCGTGCAGGTGTGGGTACTTCCTCACTTCTTGGCAGACTCGCTCTTTTAGCTGGTCCATCTTCACGGGTCATTTTACATACAAACAAAACAAGCCGGTAAGAAATTGGCTTGTGCATGTTCTCGCATGCGCATTTATTTTAAAGTGGAGAGGAGAGGAGGAGTGGAGTCTTTTCAAAAATTAGAGAAAAACCCCCACAATACCTTTAAACAACTCAACCAAGTTTGGTTAGAATATAAATGCAAAGGTAAGACCAGACCGGCTAAAGGTCAGATATCTATACGGGATTAATTACAAGATCAAAGCCTGATTAAAATTCTGTTCACAAACAAATTCCCATTAAATACTTTGTCAAGTTTGGTACCATGAATTGAGTCAACGGAAATGTTTTTGTTTTATTTAATATAGGGCCTATATTTTCACATCGTAATTCTGCCATTGCTGCTGTTCTAATTTTTTTAAAAGAACAAACTCCCATTCACAGTACAGGGATTGGCATTTAATATTTATCATGTTTTATGTGACAGTAGCTATAGAACACTTGCACTGATCTGAATGTGAATTTTTAGGCGGCCTGTGGTGTGTTTACATCAAACTCCTTTTAAATTGGACTTGTCATATGCAAATTTTCTATTTTCCTATAAAAAAACTAAAACTAGACCATTTCTGTTGATATTCATGCAGATTCTATTAACTCTGCAAAATGCTGTCTAATCTAATAGAGAACCTGTGATGAGAGACAAAGATTATGGCGACAGTAAATGACATACAGTGGGTATGGAAAGTTTTCAGACCCCTTGAAATTTTTCACTCTGTCATTGCAGTCATTTGCTCAAATGAAAAAAAAAAAGTTAATTTTATTTCTCATTAATGTACAATCAGCACACCATCTTGATAGTAAAAAAAAATACACAAATGTAGAAATTTTAGCAAAAGTGTTAAAAAATAAAAACTGAAATATCACATCGTCATAAGTATTAAGACCAGTGCTCTTCTCAGGTCTCTCTCCATTGGGTTTAGGTCGGGGCTCTGGCTGGGCCAGTCAAGAATGGTCACAGAGTTTTTCCCAAGCCAATCCTTTATTATTTCAGCTGTGTGCTGAGGGTCATTGTCTTGTTGGAAGGCGAACCTTCTGCCCAGTCTCAGGTCTATAGCACTCGAAGAGGTGTTCTTCCAGTATATGTGTACTTGGCCTCATTCATCTTTCGTTCAATTGCAACCAGTCTTTCTGTCCCTGCAGCTAAAAAACACCCCCATAGCATGAAGCTGCCACCACCGTGTTTCCCTGTTGGGATTGTATTGGACAGGTGATGAGCAGTGCCTGGATTTCTCCACACATACCGCTGAGAATTATAGCAAAAAAGTTAAATCCTGGTCTCATCAGACCAGAGAATTTTCTTTCTCATAGTCTGGGAGTCCTTCATGTGTTTTTTGGCAAAATCTGTGCAGGCTTTCATATGCACTGCACTGAGGAGAGGCTTCTGTCGGGCCACTCTGCCTTAAAGCCCCAACAAATAGAGGGCTACAGTGATAGTTGACACTGTGGAACTTTCTCCCATTTCCCTCCTGCATCTCTGGAGCTCAGTCACAGTGATCTTTGGGTTCTTCTTTACCTCTCTCACCAAGGCTCTTCTCCCACAACTGCTCAGTTTGGCTGGACGGCCAGATCTAGGAAGAGTTCTGGTCGTCCCAAACTTAATCCATTTAAGGATTATCGAGGCTACTGTGAACTCTTGTGCCACTCTTAGGAACCTTGAGTGCTGCAGACATTCTTTTGTAACCTTGGCCAGATCTGTTCCTTGCCACAATTCTGTCTCTGAGCTCCTTGGGCAGTTCCTTACATGATTTTCGTTGGATTATATAGACAGGCGTGTGCCTTTCCTAATCCAAGTCCAATCTGTTTATTTAAACAAAACTGGACTACAACAAATGAGGAGAATCATCTCAAGGAGTCTCAGAAAAGATGGACAGCATGTCAGTTAAATACGAACGTCAAAGCAAAGGGTCTGAATACTTATGAAAATATGATATTTCAGTTTTTCTTTCTTTAATAAATTTGCTAAAATTTCTACATTTTGGGGGGTTTTTCTATCAAGATGGGGTGCTGAGTGTACATCAACGATAAATGAAATGAACTCTATTGATTTTAGCAAGTGGCTGCATAGAAACAAAGAGTGAAATATTTAAAGGGGTCTGAATACTTTCCGTACCCACTGCATGTGGAAGACTTTGTTTTTGTAAGAGTCTGATTGCTGTAAGGGCAAGAAAAATTCTAAAAATGTTTATTTTATTTTTTTTTCACCGATTACTGAGATTGAGCAAAACAATTTATGGGATTATTTGTTTACCAAGAAAAGCCAAACTTTGAAATAACATTTAGATGCATGTACACTGCATCCTGTGGAATACAGAAATATATCAAATAGACTATCCTCTCCTTTAGACATTACATAAAGCTTGGTAATCTTAAAACTGTATTATCTATTTATTCACATTTTGTGAACTAAAATGTTTTGTTTCTCATTTTATAAGAGTTCACGCCTCTTTTTCCTTTTTCAGAATGAACTTTCTGTTTTAATCCTTCTAATAAGACAGAGGAGAAAATAGAATGAAGTTAACGAAACAGGAACATCTGTAACATGTTTACAGTCCACAAGAAGAGTCTGTTAGCTCTGCGTCACGCTAATACACCAGACGATAGGTAAAGACGATTTATGTCCACAATATGACTTAATTGTTTAATCCCTATTGTTCTTTTTTTTCCACCAAACGTTTATGACTGTATTGTGAAGAATGTCGGACTCATTCAGATGACTATTAATCCAACTGTCGTTGTGTGGGACCTACCCTCAGAGAAGTACTTCAGGGCCAGAACAAACGGCTTCTCCGCCTCATTCTTCCTCTTCTCCTGCTCTGCGAGTCTCAGGCTTCTGTGTATCCGACTGGACACCGACTCTTCGCTAGAAGCCGAAAGGTCCGAATCCGACAGGCTTACCAACTTAGCCATTTCTACATTGCTGGACCAGTTAAAAACACAATCCCCTCCCCAGCTCCGACTTAGCCATTCAAACTGCAAATCTTCCGCGCCGACCGTTTGTCCTGCGCATGCGCAGTAGCATCCATCCTGTAAGGTGCTGCATGGGAGTTGTAGTCCGTTCTTCTTCTACTTCTTTTTTATTATGGCGGTTGGCAAGCAACTTATTGATGTGCATTACCGCCATCTACTTGAATGGAGTATGGATGGGGATGCTCTCTCTCTCTCTCTCTCTCTCTCTATATATATATATATATATATATATATATTATTGATTTTCGTTGGTTTATTGGCACTCATACTCTTATTTCCTGCAGACCACGATCTCTGAATTCTTTCACTATGTAATCTTTTCTTAGGTAGTGCGATCTGTTTCTCCAAAAAAAGTTCATGTTCATTTGATGGAAGGTTTTAATCTAGCTATTTGGGACAACAATAATGCAAGTATAATAAATCAATCTTGACAAAGTCTCCATTTTGGACCTTTCTAATATAGAAAGGTCAAGTTGAAGCCATGGATTAAGTTTGGAAATACATTGTTGGTTATGTTTTCAATATTAAAAGTTGAGCCTTGGTTGTTGGTTATAATAGTTCCTAAGTATTTAATTTTAGATCTAAGTGGGATGTTCAATATTTCTTTTTGGGTTGTGTAATGAATGAATAGTAGTTAACTTTTTTATTTTTTATTTAGTGAAACCCTGAAGCCTCTGAAAATATTTACATTTGATCTATTGCTATAGGGATTTGACGGCTATTTTTCAAGATAAGAGTAGTGTCATCTGCTAACTGGCTAATGATTATTTTGTTACAAAGATGTCTATTTTTTTCCAGGTCCGCACAGTTTTTTTAGGTAGATTGCAAAGATTTCTGCAACTAAAATAGACAGATATAGGGAAATATGACAACCATGGGGAATACCAACATTAATGTTAAATCTAGCTGTTGTACCTTTAGGAATTATTATACAACTACTGATGTTATGATATAGACCTCTAATTAAATTGACACATTTTTCTCCAAAGCCTAAATATCTAAGTATAGAAAACAAATAGCTGTGTTCTACAGAATCAAATGCTTTATCAAAAATTTAAAAAAGAATAAAACCAGCATCATTATTTACGTCTCTATATTTGATTAAATTCATTATTACTAATCTAATATTGTTGTGGATTTATCTTCCTTCAAGAAGCCAGATTGTGATTCTCAAACAATATTTGAGATTCCAGGTTTTTAGTCGCATGGTAAATACAGTATGTAGGTTAGCAATTTATAATCTGAGTTTCTAAGTGTGCTAGGTCTTCTATTCTCAATGAGTCTTGGGTCTTTTTCTGGTTTAGGGATTGATATAATAACACCTTGCTTCATTGTAGGAGGTAATCTTAAATTTTAGGAATACATATTTCAATCTGGCTAAAAAAGGACAGACATTTTGGTTCTAAAGTTTGGAGGTATATAAGTTGTTATAAAATGTATATATCTCTGTTGCTATTGTTTCCTCAATGTTGGTTTCCATTTCTATTCTGTTCTATTCATTTAATTAATTAACAATGATCTGATAGCATTTTTTGGCTCCTATTTTTTAGATTACAGAAGTAGGCTGTGTTTTTTTTTTCCCCCTCCTCCATCCATTTGGCTCCAATAGTTGCTTGAGCCTGGACTCCAGTTTTTGGGCTTCAGTTGTAGAGAGGTGATATTATGGTCAAGTAAAGGTGCAACAGAAATGTCAAAGTTGATTTCATTTGTCAATTATTAATTTGCTATAAGTCAATGACTTCTTGATTTTCTATTTGTGCCGAACCATGAAAAATTTATTAAATTTGGCTTAAGGTGATGCCACACATCCGCTAGACTTTGCTCATTATTGAAGTCTTAACAATGCAAAAAAATAAATAGAAATTAACATTAAAATAAATAAAAATACTAAATTATAACTTTGCCCTTTTGTAAATAACATTACAACAAAGTTTCCTGTATTGATCATATTACTCCTTATCAAAAAGCAATCCTTAACTTTATTGTCATAAAAATGTACAGAGCAATTAAAATAACTGTCTGCATTTAACCCATGCACTTGGGGAGCAGTGGGCTGCCATGGTGCAGCGCCCGGGGAGCAATGTGGGGTTAAGGGTCTTTGCTAACTGACCCAGAGTGGGAGTCTGTGGGGGTGGGGCTTTAACTCAGAAACTCTGGATTCCAAGCTCTATGTCCTAACCACTAGGCCACCACTCCCCTGAAATACTAAATAAAAATAATATTCCATCTAAATATACCGTATCTATAGTTAGAATATATTAATATAAAACTTCGTGTTTATCATATTGATATTGAATTGCAAAATATATAACTGTATGTATATATTTCATCCAGTTTCAGTTTAAATAGTTTTTAAACTGAATATACAGTGGGGCAAAAAAGTATTTAGTCAGCCACCAATAGTGCAAGTTTTCCCACTTAAAAAGATGAGAGAGGCCGGTAATTTTCATCATAGATATACCTCAACTATGAGAGACAAAATGAGAAAAAAAAATCCAGAAAATCACATTGTCTGATTTTTAAAGAATTTATTTGCAAAATATGGTGGAAAATAAGTATTTTTGTCAATAACAAAAGTTAATCTCAATACTTTGTTATATACCCTTTGTTGGCAATGACAGAGATCAAACGTTTTCTGTAAGTCTTCACAAGGTTTTCACACACTGTTGCTGGTATTTTGGCCCATTCCTCCATGCAGATCTCCTCTAGAGCAGTGATGTTCTGGGGCTGTCGCTGGGCAACACGGACTTTCAACTTCCTCCAAAGATTTTCTATGGAGTTGAGATCTGGAGACTGGCTAGGCCACTCCAGGACCTTGAAATGCTTCTTACGAATCCACTCCTTCGTTATCCGGGCGGTGTGTTTGGGATCATTGTCATGCTGAAAGACCCAGCCACGTTTCATCTTCAATGCCCTTGCTGATGGAAGGAGGTTTTCACTCAAAATTTGACGACACATGGCCCCATTCATTCTTTCCTTCACACGGATCAGTCGTCCTGGTCCCTTAGCAGAAAAAAAACAGCCCAAAAGCATGATGTTTCCACCCCCATGCTTCACTGTAGGTATGGTGTTCTTTGGATGCAACTCAGCATTCTCTTTTTTTACCAAAAAGTTCTATTTTGGTTTCATCTGACCATATGATATTCTCCCAGTCATCGTCTGGATCATCCAAATGCTCTCTAGCAAACTTGAGACGGGCCTTGACATGTACTGGCTTAAGCAGGGGGACACGTCTGGCACTGCAGGATTTGAGTCCGTGGTGGCGTAGTGTGTTACTGATGGTAGCCTTTGTTACTTTGGTCCCAGCTCTCGGCAGGTCATTCACTAGGTCCCCCCGTGTGGTTCTGGGATTTTTACTCACCGTTCTTGTGATCATTTTGACCCCACAGGCGAGATCTTGTGTGGAGTCCCAGATTGAGGAAGATTATCAGTGGTCTTGTATGTTTTCCATTTTCTAATAACTGATCCCACAGTTGATTTCTCCACACCAAGCTGTTTACCTATTGCAGATTCAGACTTCCCAGCCTGGTGCAGGTCTATAATTTTGTTTCGGGTCTCCTTTGACAGCTCTCTAGTTTTGGCCATGGTGGAGTTTAGAGTGTGACTGTTTGAGGTTGTGGACAGGTGTCATTTATACTGATAACGGGTTCAAACAGGTGCCATTAATGAAGGTAACGAGTGGAGGACAGAGGAGCCTCTTACAGAAGAAGTTACAGGTCTGTGAGAGCCAGGAATCTTGCTTGTTTGTAACTGACCAAATACTTATTTTCCACCAAATTTTGCAAATAAATTCTTTAAAAATCAGACAATGTGATTTTCTGGATTTTTTTTTCTCATTTTGTCTCTCATAGTTGAGGTATATCTATGATGAAAATTACCTGCCTCTCTCATCTTTTTAAGTGGGAGAACTTGCACTATTGGTGGCTGACTAAATACTTTTTTGCCCCACTGTATATGTGTAATCTAACTGAACAGTTTTTTTTTAAATTAGTTTTTTTCTTTTAAGGGGTTGTGACATGTAAGAGATTATTGAAATATTATATTTACTTGTCTTCCATGTGATCAAAATGAGATCTAAGGTGCCTTCTATACATTCTGACAGCAGCGGTCTGACCCAAGATGGCTGCCATTGCGCCACTGCCAGCAGCGTTTATAGAGGCTTTTACGTATTGTTTATGTATTGCCCTTTTCTTTAGTTTTTTTTTTATAGGTTTCTTTCTTTTACTCTGTGCCCCAATTAAAAAAACATGAAAAAACTCAGTGATTCCCTCTAAAGAGTAATAAAACCTCTGTGACTAATATGGTATTATATATAATGCTATCCATTCAATCCAGCTAAGACATATTCCCGCATGCAGGAGTCCATTTTTTAAGCTACAGAGGAAATTGAATCCAATGCGTAAATACATGTGCATAGAATGTTCTTCACATATGATCTGCTTTTAGAGCTTTGCAGCATATTATAATAATCTAAAATCTAATATTTTCATAACACAAAATCCTTTCCAACTGTGTTTAAAACTTCTGACTCAAACTTTCAGTAAGATAAAAGGAAATGGTGGAAATGTTAAGAAACCATCAGAAACACAGAAACCATGGAGGCGCTTGGTGTCATTAACTGGAAGGATGTACGGAGCAGTCAGCAGACTGGAATTTGGATCATAAGAGCCCTAATTGAATTGATATAAAAACATGTACCGAGTGTGTTCGAACTTCTGAGGACATTGTATGTAACTCAGCCGTATAAAGCACTTAATCACAGGGCGCAACACATAGATCATAGCATAGGACTTAAATCAAAATCAAACAATAGCATTCAGAACTGCAAAAGTCACAGATTTTCACTTCAAGTTAAACTGCAATGATTAAAAGAAAGTCAATCACGCCTCCAGTTCTTTATTTAAAGTTCCTCATTTACAGGAATATTGACAGGATTTGTAACTGCAGCTAAAATGCTCCAAGATGAAAAACTCACCCAGTTTAATACTTTACCAGTGAATTACAAAGAGTAGTATGCAACTTCTAACGAGCAAAATGATATT